AGCGAACAGCCCTGTCCTCAACTGTCCGTCATCGCAGAACATTGATGCAGGAGCCAATGAGCGGACAGAAGGCGGAGGCAAGGGGGGAGTGAGGTGGATATAAAGACAGGTGGATGGAGTCTGGGGGGGGGAGAGGGAGAGCGAGAGTGTGTGTAACTTGAAAGTGGCTGGAAAGTGAGTTAGAGATCTGTGAGAGTGCAGATTGAAGCAGAGTTAAATGAGCTTTGAAATTATATCTTTCATTAAAATACCTGTGATTTATCCCATGTATTATTAACTTCCCTGATCAAAAAAGCCTTAAGTTTTCAACAACACACCTGTTTCTATATGTAATTGATATTAAAGCATTAATATCTGGTAGCAGCGAAGCAATAAGAACCTCGTGAAGACCGGGGGGATAGGGACTTCGGAGGGGCTCGCCACACCTATCCTTAGTTCCCCCAGATCTGGGATCAGAAGCCCCGCCACTAAGCTTTTCCACAAAAGCTCTAGGTCACCTACTTCTTCACTGCAGAGTTCTGACCAAAAGGTACTCATGACTCAAAGAAAATTCACTTTCAATCTCTGGCTTTACTGGATTGTTTCATATCCCACCATTGGACACCAATTATGGTGTTCACCTTTGTGGCACCTGCGTGATTTGCTCACGTCGCAATTTCCTCTTGCTGCCACCAATGGATTACCTCAATCCACAATGTAAATGACGTTTGTCAGGACACGTGAATTCAAACAGAACTTATTTATTGAAGTGAATCAGATTTAATAAGTTCTTCAGATAATCATTGTACACAAGCAAATCGTTAACAGTATTAGTACATACTTTTCCCTTACAATATCTACCTATCTGTTCCCTCTCGCTCTCTGACTAACCAAATTCTCACTCTGACTCTCAGACAGACTCAAGCTTCCCCTTTTAACCTCTTTCTGCTCCACCTCTCCACATTAGCAAAGTACAGTGGTGCCTCGCAAAGCGATTTCATCATTCTACGATGAAGATTTTGCGATCGCTTTTGCGATCGCTTTCCGATGTTCCCTATGGGGGTATTTCGCTTTGCCATGATCAGTTCCCTGCTTGGGTAACCGATCATGGCAAAGCAATTCTTTTTAAACAACTGATCGCACGCAAACAAGCCTTTTTAAACAGCTGATCGGCGCCGCACTTCCCCCCCCAACAGCTCCTGCTTAAATAGCGGGGGCGCTCCGGCTTGGCATCTCAGGAGGGAGGGAAAAGGAGGGGCGAAGGGGCTGGCCCCGATCCCCGTGCGCACCCCTGGGGCACCAAGCCAGAGAGCAGTTGCGGCGGGGGGGAGGTGCTGTAAAGGAGGAGGCGCCCGCCGTAC